ATGTATCTGGCAGGAATCTCTGGTGTTGATTTCTCTAATGTTGATTCAGTGTAATATGACACGTTAATGTAATGATGTCATGTTTTGATTCAGTTGTAATCATATCAGTCACCTTTTTTCCAATCCTCTGTCAAGTTCCAATGCATCTCCCTGAATTAAAATAGCAAATAAAGAAAATTGTATGCAGAAATGGGGTAACACCACCGCATTGCTCTCGAAGCATACATCAATGTGAAAAAAAGGTAGTAGAGTAAATGACTCACCAAGTACAGAAAGGTCAAACAACAAAGTTAGAAGGAAAATAACAAAATAAAATGCTTTATTGTACGGATGTCATCCAAACAGAATGCCAAAGAAATGAGCCACATGGGACATAATAAAAAATATTAATAGAGAAAATGGTTACACGTCATTAAATGTTTTATGTTCAGCATCACAAACCATCAAAAGCCATACAATCAAATGTACCATACTTGATACATGATTTCTAATGATGTGTGGTGGTTCACCACAATTGATCCCATAAGGAGATAAACACATGGCCACATCTTTCACATGCACACATCGCTCTAGTGTTCTTTCAGTACAGCTCTTTCCTTTAGCTAGTTGTCATTCTAAAAAACAACATGTGCATGCAGATAAAATGCATTTACATCAAAACATGTACTGTAGTGGATTCTTTAATCTAGAATGTTGGCAGTGAGGTGCAATATTATGCTAAACTACAAAATACAACGTGAGGATTCTAAATAATCTGAAGCCAGATAAGAATTGCTAGTAACAATGAAAGCAAAAAATCGTTTTCATGTTCATCTATTTCAGAACCTTTGAAATAGCCGTCGGGAAATGTGTGACTGGATTTCCCTGAATCTCTTCATAATAACTTTGTTGAAGAGAATGATTAAAAACACAAAGAAGAATAAAGAAGAATAAAAAACTTTTCTGAGAGCAGGATTCGAACCTGCAGTCCTTGGGATGCAAGGTACCAAGAAATTATCATAAAGAAAGGCACCAGCCAACCCCTGTATTCAGTTATGGTTCGTTATCTTGAGAACACGAGATAATTATCCCGTTATCACGGGAAAACGGAGTAAAAAAAATATGAACTTTGAACACTACTACTCTTTACAACCATTAATCCATATGAAAGAGACAGATTGGGCTCGCTGCAGTGGAGGCGCACTCCAAATTTCCACGATCATCTTCCACGATATACTGAGGCCCAAGGCAGAAAATGGCTCGTGCAGAGACCTGACTCTGTACATCTGGGAGAAATTGGGGATGTTTCTTCCATTAACTCTGGCATCTGTGGAGAATTAATGAGTATGTGGGTAGCTGCACTAACCCTAAATAAGCTATCCAGTTCAGTCATTTGGCTTTAAAATGTGCCATAGGTTATAAAAACTAGTTAGTGGCTTGGTGGGTGAAGTGTAGTGAAGTGAAGCTAAAGCGATAGCTAGCCTTGGCACCTGTGTGCCATGTAGTACAGGATGCAAACATTTGTTACAGTATGAGAAAGTTGCACATCTGGGGTTTATCATTATTTTCACCGTAAAAATGTACTAGTTTTGTAGGGCCCTTTTAACCCAACCCTTTTTTAGATAAAGGAAAACATAGCTTTGAGATCATCCTTTTTTTAAAGATATAATGGAAATGTCACTTGAGGTTTAGTGGTGAAATCAAACACACTGAAACCAAGTATACGACCTCATCTAGGATTGACAACAATATACTTATAATAAGTGTAATATAAGTAATAATAACCAGAAACTATCTTGGAACAGTACTTGTTTTTTACACAAAACTTTTTCACTTCCACTATTTCTATGAGTCCCACACAAATATGGCTTTTTGTCACAACTGGTTTCTGTTTTTCATATTCAACATTTTTTGCACATTCTCACTTGGCCTTTTATGATGAAATAACAGTGACAGTAGTTTAGTTGAATGAATAGCCTCACAGGAGGCTTTGAGAGTGGATGAATAACACCCCAGGGAGGCATCAGAAGAGTTACAGTGGAGAGATTTTGCTCAAAATAACAATAACTTCCACTCTGGAGCTTTGTTATCCAGATGCAGCTTAGCCAGCCTGACTTGAACACTGAGTCTTACAGTACATTTGAATGGACTCTATCCATTCTTTAATGAAAGCGTACTTACTTGTCTTAAAGTGGATGTGTGAATCTTGTTGGTTTATTAGCAAGTCTGAACTGTTTCCAGATGTGCTTTTCCTTAATTCTCTTTTTTTTGTTTCAGTGTGAGTTCACTTCATAGGGGCTTATTATAGCAGATGTTTTCACATTTAAAATAGGATTGTAATGAGGAAACTCTGTGAAATGCATAGATCTCACTACATAAGAATTAACCCATGTTATAAAATGCTCCATGAAATATTAAAAGAAACAAAATATTAGTCAGTGTTACAGTTTGTCTCATATTGTGGCTATAACAGCCATACCAACAGGTCCACTTTTGATATTCAACAAAAACACAATAAAAAAGTTAATGTGGCAAACCAATGTTCGGTCTACCACTGACCACTCTGTGAATTTAGCTGAAATGTTACCATGAAACCACTCAAGAGAGAGAGAGAAAGAGAGAAAAGAGATAAGCGAGAGACTTTTAAAAAGTAATAGCCATGACTTGGAGACTAGATGTTTTGTGTAAGAAAGAGCTTACAGGATCCAAAAGTGTTTCCGGTGAGCCAACCGAGTCTAATTACTCACAATGCTGTGACATTAGTCTTCAAAGGACATGAAAAACAAGACTCCTTTCACACGTCCATCAACTTTGTGTAAGACTTTATGTGCCCAAATGATTAACGAGAAAGCTGACCACATCATGACCAAAGAAGTTTACTTCCTCCAATGGGTGACAGTGAAGAATGGCTCATAATGCGCTCTGTGCTAATTATTTTGTGCTTTGATTGCCTAATATTTTCCCACGAGTTGTGGATACATCTATAGCAGCCAAAATAATACATTAAATTGACTTTTGATTAAATTATTGTTTAATTTATTAAATTGAATTGATCTGGTAAGTGTACATATATAAACGCAATTAAATTCAGGCCTGCAATCACAGACTTGCACTGATGATATTGCCGGAACAAAATGTACATAGTGTACAATTACACTTGCATCATAGTATTGTCTGTGTGGCCATTATTGAGGATATCACACCACTGGAGATGAGGATCTAAGAGGCTGCAACACAGTTTGTTAGGTTCTCCTACAAAGCTGCATGCAGTGCAATTCAATACATTAACCCTCCAATAAATCTTTCCTTTATTCTACCCTTCCAGATTTCTTTTACACAAACAGTACCAACAATAACACAGTCACTAAACCCATGCTGTAATCTGAAAGATGTTTATTTATCCACCCACTGACTGGACAAGTTTCTTTTTGTGATATTTTGTTCTGTCCATGGACAAAATTATCATCCCCCTTAAATAAATACTTCTCTTGCAGTTTCAACAAAACCTGATCATGGTGAAAACGTCAGTCTCAAAAAAAAGAGAAGAAGTTGTAATATACCGTCTATAGTAGCCCGACTGATACTAGAATTGTGAACTGATCCTGATAGTAATGTTTGAGAGTTAGAAATATCTAATATGGCAGCTGATATTAATTTTCTTTTACATAAACATATAGCATGGACAAACATTTCTGATAAGAATCCGTTAAATGTGTTTATTGGGACTAAGAAATGGAAAGCCCTGAGTGTTTCATTGAAAAATACACTTGTCAGCAACAGTGTTCAGCAAGTTGTGTGATCATTTAGGCTACATATTACTAATTGAAAAAGTAATCACATTACTTTACAAATTACAATTAGTAATTTGTTACATTACTTGTTACTTTTGTTGCTCAACCCAGCTCAGTCAAAGGTGCCAAGTCAAAATCCTCCATATCCACGTGTCACATCTGTATGTTACCCTTCTAGAAATAGAAAAGACATTTACGGTTTAACAAGCATTCTAGCCTACATCCTTTGTTATTTAGTGATCATCAACAGCTAGCTTAATGTTAACCCCAGTAAAGTGAAGTCAGACTGAAGCCGCAGGGTTCACACATTCTCGGACTCAGAACAAAATTCTTGAAGATATATTCACTAATCAGCTTGTTAAAGTTTAAAAACTAGCTAAGAAAACACTTACCGGACTTACCAGAGTTGTATTTCTCTACCTCCAGTTCCTGTACCAATCTTCTCAACCAGTCCTTCCACTGAACAAAGAGTGACAAAACTGATATCCCTCAGGCAAACTCCAGCAGCAAACAAACTGACCCCCAAAATGTCGAAGTAACATCACTGGGATTAGTTAATGTAATATAATTATTAAATCTCTTAAACTACACTACTTGATACTGAAAAACATAATTACATAATTGTAACGCGTTGCTAAATAATGTGCTCAATGCTGCTTGTCAGTGCTCTCTAGTGGACAAATTATAGCCTATAATGGAGACACTATTTCTTAATGTATGACCGTAACCATAACATTCAGCATTTCTGTGCTGCAATTTCTTGTTACTTCCCTGCTGCCATTTAGTCCATACAGATATTATTAATGACAAGCTAATATCGGCCAATATATCAGGCTAGCTCTACAGTGTAAATCAAACTCACTATTTACCGCACATCACAAGTCTCTATCTTAGTATACCAATGTGATTATTTTTACCATAGAAATAAAATAAGGTCAATTTAGTATTGCAGAATGGATAGTTTATTTAAAGGTTCGTGTGTCTTTCACTTTTTTTATTAGCAATAATAAATACTGAGGGCAGACCTAAGAAAAAACTGAATTCAAGATGATTTTGTTGTTTTGGTTAACTTTGACACAATGAGTGGTACATTTAATTTCCAGGATTTCTAACAATGCAGCACTCAATCCTGCCCCATGTGTAGTGGTCGAGGCGCACTCACCATTGGCTCAGGAGCCCGTAGGGGCGTTGCTTCGTGGTTGGTGAGCGCTCAGGGTGCACGGGGTGTTTTAGGGATGGCTAAGGGAAAGCGTACTTGGCACTGATCCCTCTTTTCAGTATAGACTGCAGTTTACATTAGGCAGCAAATTTTTTTTGTCAGGGGGATGAATGTGTCATAAATAGTTGTCGTTTATATAGGGGTAGTGGATGCATGTTTAGCAATGCGATGAGGCCAGTGCACTTTGCAAGACTTGCGCTGCAGAGAGCCTCCGCGGACCCCACGACCTGTTGCTGACAAGCCGCGGAAAAGGAGAGGGAGAGGGGGAACAGCTCGGGAGAGACATAGGGTACTGCCTTGGAGACGACAGCCCGAGTTTCTTCGCGGAGGAAATCATGCAGTTTGCAATCTGGCTGGTTGGACTAATGTGTCATCTGTCAGCACTTGTCCGTGACACTTTGCAACAACGATTGCATCCGAAACAAGGTAGTGTTTTGATTTGATTTATGAGTACGGTTACGTGATACTGCTGAAGGTGTTTTAACGGTAAATCTGTGGTGATTGAGAATGGTAGGCTACTGTAAGGTTGTCAGGCTGCAGATCCTTATTACACTGGCACATTGCTCAGTACTTTGTCTCTGAATTACAACTTTATGTGAAAACTTTTTTGTTGTTGTTGCAGAAAGCTTCATCAAGCAGCTGTCATCGTATGAAATCATCACCCCGCTCCGTGTGAATGACTTCGGAGAATCATTCCCTCACAAATTGCACTACAGAAGGAGACGGAGAAGTTTAAATGATGACCTGTCGGGCTTACGGGTTCACTACAGGATTGATGCATTCGGGGAACGCTTTCATCTCAATTTGACCGCACACTCCGACTTCATCGCCCCCTCTTACACAGTGACACACTTGGGAGCGGAACATAGCAACGCCACGGACTCCAACTTCTATGACCCGAGCGACATGCGCCACTGCTTTTTCCGCGGACACGTCAACGCCAAGAGCGAGTACCCTGCTATCTTCAGCGTGTGCACTGGCCTTGTGAGTATTGACTTTTTTTAGACGCTTTAATCAAGCGACGCTGACAGGCCTCCACACTTTCTCCCATTTCAACGGATTTCATCCATGCATGTCCCCCATAACCCGCAGCTCAAGTGAAGTGTGTAGGAGTGTAACAAGAGCAAGTGTTACTGGACTAATGTCTCTGAGGTGGAGAGCATGCAGACTTGCATCTCAGTGCCTGTGCCTGGTGATGCTGTGATTGCACAGTGCAGTCTGGGCACCAGGGTGGTGTATGGTGCCTCTGCCTAAGTGCTCTTGAGCAAGACACATTGTAACCTCTGATCAGCTCTAGCTGAGGTTGGTGCTCTTTGGCTGACCCTGCTGTGCAACCACTAAGCAAGCTAAAAAGGCAAATTATCCCTACAAAGATCAACAAGGTAGCAGTGCAATTTATACAGGGTAAGGCATGTGCAGCGTGCCTGTGCTTTTACTTTATTATACACTACTTTGATGCTACAAGTCTTTGCAAAACAAAGTGTAATAACAGCAGACTTGCTAAAACTAGTGGTAAGTTAATTGGTAAATAATTTAAGTAATTTATCAATCACATTTGCTCCTTCCAGCTACTCAAATGTGCTGACTTGCTGCTTTTCTCTGTTGAAATCATTGTAAATTGAATACTACTGTATGTAGGACTGCTGGTTGGACAAAACAAGCCATTTGAAGATATCTCCTTAGGGTTCTGGGAACTCATGGTCGCAGCCCCAAACAAAAGATATTATCTTTCAGGTTAAAGCAGCTGTTTGCGTTTTGATTGCCCGTAAGAACTGTTAGATCTTATGGGGCTGTAATGGAGATACTGGGTAATAATGAGTTTACAGCCCTTTTATACGTTTATATGGGGATCCTGATGACCTAGTTCTTTTGTTTGCTGACTCCTGTGTGAGAGAATCTGATAACTGTTAAAAGGAATGACTTCATGGGTCACATAAGGTTACCCGTCTGGGGGCAGGGGGTTGACCTCAGTCGCGTCAGCCGGATTCAGGCATGGACTCTGCGTAGTGGGGGTGTTTGGCTGGCCACAGCAACACAGACAGAAGGACCATAGCCTTGGAGTCTACCTCCCCATCCCAACCCCTACCAGTGACATAATCCTTATTTTAGATAGGTGCACTGTGTACAGTACCAGGATAGTGTGTCACAGAATAGGTATCAGCAGCATTTTGAGGCTTTTTGAACAAGTACATTCACAATGATTGTAGTCCTATTGAATCCTGACATAATGATTAAAAATCATTGTGTATTAACGCTTTGTGGGGATTAACTTCCCTTCTAAGAGACCACGTAATAAAGTGTTTTTTCATGTTTGTATAGCAATTTAAGTAAGATATGATGAATGCTGGAATTACCAGAGTAATAAGCCTTTAATTGCCCCTCTGCCCAACTTTGATGTATGACTTGCTTATCCAAACATGTTTGCATCCTTTTTCAAGCAATCTTTGTTGCTTATCCGCATCATCACTCATTGAGAATGACAGAACAATGGAAACAGCACCACACGCTATTGGGTCATAAATGTGTCCGCATCCGATCACTGGGGCTTAATGGCCAGGCACATTTTGTTGGGATGAGGTCATTAAGGAATAGTTAAGCCCTAAAACAAGGGGTCATTCTACAAAAAGCAGGTTCCCCTTTCGTCCAGAGTTGCTCAAAGCCGTCCCCAGGGGGGAATTGGGGGGGTGGGGTTGAGGAGCTTTTGGCCTTTTCAAAGTGAGCTGTGATGGGCAGAAAAGAAGAGAAATGCTGTGAAGAGACAACTGCCAATGAAGTTTGTGTGGAACTTAAGGATTGCTCACACCGTGGGAAATCTTAGTTCCTGATCGAACTTGCTCTTTCACTTCACTCACATAATAGAAGTGTGTGGTGAGTCAGCCTGGCCTGAGAAATGAGGCTAGCACCAAGTGATGTACCTCTGTGTAAAGATCAGGCTCATGACACCTTTATGTCCTATTTAACTTTAGAGCTTGACTGCAACTGTACATCACTTTCAGATGACTCAGCACCCCACAGGGTTTGAAACTGTCTTTGTAGGATTTAATAATACAGATGTGTGCCAACAGTCATTCCTTCCATGTCATGAGTGTGACCTCGCTTCAAATAGGAGTGCCTCAGTGGTCAGGTCCAGTTCAGCACCCACTTCTGAACAGCAACCATTGTGTCAGTCCAAACGGTTGCCAGATTTGCTGCTGAGCTAATGCTGGGAAACCCTGAAACTCTGCACCCTCCATTGACTAAACAGAGCATTTGTCTGTTCAGCCTTCCCTTAACACCAGAACTTTAGAAAGGCTCAACCATAATCATCTAATTAAAGTTAAATCACCAAAGATAGTGATTTACAAGATACAGGTAAACATCTACCAGTTGTTATATTGCATAAATCATTCATTACATTTAGATCACTACAACAGCAGTTGTAGTAAGGCTGCAACATTCTCATATTTAGGACACCTATATCATTGTGCAGGGATAATTAGACGAATGTTTTAAGTTATGGGAGTTCTCCACAAAAAATCTCTATGACAAGTAGGCAATCTCCATCCGCTGAAGTTAAGGTGATATTAGAAGATCAGAACAGTTACTAAAGGAACCTTGTGGTGAAATTATTATGAGATTATTCAACTGCTGTTTCCAAGGTCAAGAATTAGCTTTGAAACTCAAACCAAAATGTTGTTTTTACAAATAAGATGGTTCATATTACTACATTTATGCTGCCAAGTCACTGTTTAAGGGCTGGGCAGTGGATCTTTAGGGGGAGATCACCAGGTTACCATAGAAGTGGTATACATCTAAAAGCTGGGAACCATAAATCTGTCATAAACATGAATTGGTTAGGCTCCTATTCACATTTTGAAAGAGTGTATAAAGACTTAAAACATTCTAATGGAAGTATATGATTGCCATTCCCGCGATCAATTATGTCTCAAAGTTGTTGTTAGCAATTTTTTGGGTTGACACCATTTGGTACACAGATTTGGTGCAAAATGTAACTATTTTTAACCTCACCAAAATTGATAAAAAAGGTCAAAAGTCCCTCTAAAATACCACATTGAGACACTTAGTCGTTGATGAACACCATAGAAAAATTTATGCTGTGATTTGGTATCAAAGACTTCACATGTTGAGAAAATTGTATTTTTAGGCGATTGAATGGCGAGCACTTGTGGTAAAGAAATGACTCAGAAACCCTCTTATTGTCAATATGCCTAGAAAAGCCATACCTCCTTTGAATGCGCTAGGGATCTAGTTTGTGGTTGTAAAGTTTCATGAGGATGTGATTGTTCTACAGGTTACATAGGTCATTTTATACAATGAGGTCAAGTTTCAAAAAATGGTCTCACTAAATGAAATGGCTGCTATGAGGACTAACATCGTCACACATGAATACAGTTGGGCTCAATGAAGCCACAATAGTCTCAGCTTTCCAGTCACAGTTTATGCAATTGACCCTTCGCTAAGCCACGCCCCGAATACACAGCTGGCCAATAACAGCGCAGTATAGGACTCGCTCTAACTGAAGTCCGACACTTTCATGGATGCGCTCCATTGACTCTAATGTAAAAAGAGTCATTTTCTAGCTTTTTTTGGCTTTATTTTTCTAAGATATGGTCAAACACTGTTCCTGGGGCACTTGTAATAATTACAGTCACTGCCCAGATAGGCTGATAGGAGAAGTACAATTTATTCTCTTTCCAAAACCTAAAATAAATCCAGAAAAATGTCGGCTGTGGATCGTTCCTAATCTAATGTTAGTTAGATTAGGAACGATTAGGAACGTTAGCTTAGTTAGCTAACTTCGTACTCAATGGAACGTAATAAAGCCCTACTCTTCTGCTTTTTAACGATTGTAATAATGAATAGAGGCTTACCTAGCTTTACAGGAACAGTGTTGATCGTTCATATCGTTGTCTTTTGTCTCAATCATCGTGGGATGCGGTGGTTCACTTGTATTGTGTGATCGGTTGGCTTTAGCTTCTATCTTTCATTTTTTTCACGTCTGTTTGAGTCAGTTTGACAGCCTGAATACAACTTTCAAATCTATAATGCAAATGCAAAACTGTCTGCTTTTTCCAACTAATTTGACAATATTTCTCCGGAGTGTGCAGTAATAGACAGTGGCAGCGCCGACAGTTTGTCGGACTTAGCAACAGTAATTAAGGGGGGCGGGGGCTTAGCAAAGGGTCAATTCCAATGCTGTTTAAGGACCCCAGTATGTAGAAATATTTAAATACACCATTTTTAGAATTGGCGAAAATAAAATTTATACTGCATGCTGCATCTACCAATTCTTTATTCGATTAGTCGATTAATCTAATGACAAATTTATCAATTATTCTAGATAATTTTTTTACTTGATTAATATAACAATGAAATTATCCAACATAATAAAATAAAAACTTGCCTCATTAGCATTTCAATATTTTATTCAATCATCATCCAATACATGGCCGTTAAATTAAACAAAATATAGAACAGTCGAACGTTAATGTTAACACGTTCCTAATATATCATACTTGGGTGGGGACAAAAAGTAAACAGGATTTGTGGTGCTGTCTTGCTTCTGCTGCTGCTGCTGCTGCCGTCTTGACGATGCACTTGGAAGTGTTCATGTATAGCAGTTGTACTGCTGAGAGAAGCCCCCTTCCCGACAAGCTTGCATGACATGGTTGGTAGCAATGGATGCCTTAAGTTGTCTAGTTTCATATGATACCAGTAACTTCATTCTAACTTTGTCCTCCATACAGCCTTTGAACACTCTCTTTGGGAATGTGAGAATTTTGACGAGCCAAACTCATTTGTAGTTTCATTTTGGTGTTTTTGTCCTAACATATAGAATTTGAGGCAGTCTCTGTTACTCATAGAACATTAGTGTAAATATATATTTCAGTGAAACTTCAATCTCCTTTTTGATCTGTGCTGGGATGGCCTACATAATAGGATCATAAACAGGAAAATAAAGTAATGAAAGAATGAATTTCAGTTTCTACTGAAGAGATAGTTTAGTGAACATTTCCATTTCAGTTTAAGCTTTGCCAGGAAAGCATTTGTCACAGCATGCTTTGTGTCTGAACTGAGACTGAGTCCGATACTAAGTTGTAGGATGTACAACGTTGTCACTGCATATAATGCTGCATTTTTGTCTTTGGTAGAAGACACATCTTGATGGGTTTGCACAAAAACTCCATGCCTCACAGCTCCACACTGTGACCAGATTCTGTCAATACTTTGGTTAATTCCTTGCAGAAGCAGTTTAACAATAGGGGGAGATGACAATGAGAAACACTGAGGCTCTTTTACAGTGATGTGTTTTTTTTTCTATTCTTTGTCATGTTTTCACAAGCTCATTACACTGCTGCACTGAACATACATAGGACTCAATGCCTGTAGCACTTTCGAGGAAGTATGATGCATACGTGCAAGCCAGCTAATCCTTCATCCTTTGAAAGGTGGAGAGGAAAGGTACACATACAGTTGGTACGCATTTTCCATATCCGATTTGTATGTTTTCCATTGTCAAATGTCCATCACCTGTGGGGATGGTTATGGAATAATGCTGCCTTAAAGATAACATTCCAGCGTCCAATATCCTGTTTAAGTGTGCGCATGAAATTACCATACAAACACCATTGTGCCTCATAGCTGAGTGAGCTAAGAAGTTTTGTGAGGGACTGAGCTGCCAAATCAATATTGGCATTCCTCTGTCAGCAGCTCTGTCCATGTATGATGATGTCACTCCTCCCAATGTCAGGTTTTGAGGGGAAATGCATTTTCACAGTCAGAACAGCATGAACATAAAGGAGTGAAACGGTTCATCGAATCATGATGAATTATGCATCAATAAATGTATAAAAGGCTCAAATTGAAATTATATGTTCTCAATTCTCAAGTTCAACGGTGACTGACAGTGTGTTTTCTCTGACCTTTCTAATTCAGCATGTCCTTTCCATGGGCACCTAAAAACTGAGCTTGTTCAAATTCATGGAAATAATGTGCACAGTGGTGCCCATGGCAACAGAGAATGACTGCAATTAGATCACCTCTTTAAATGAAACTGTGCCCTAATCTGTAAATTAAACCTACTGACATGCAGTAGAGTATGAACACATGCAAGTGCATGCTTCATACCAAAGCCATCAATGACATCTCTTTTTTCTGCTCTAGATTGGAACTTTTACAACACAACATGGCGAATACTTCTTGGAGCCTCTTTTAAATGCTGCGGGGGAGGAATATGAGGATGAGCACAACAAACCTCATCTTGTATATCGACATGAGAGGAATATGAACATCTCGAATACTGACAACACAGAGCCCTGTGCTGCCTCAGGTAACAGACTACAGACTGCCTAACTATACTGCCTGGAACCACTGTCTGACTCTTGCTCACAAACACTTACTGTCTGATGGCCTGCATTCACTTTCTGAGCCATGGCAATAAACACTGTTCTAAAATGTAAATTATGCTCAGTCACGATCTTTGGCTTGCAGGATACCCAAAATATTTCAACCTTGATTAAGGGGTGTTACTGAAAACTCCTCAACGTAATTAAGCAAAAAGCGCGCTCCAGCATAGCCTGGTGTTTTCACTCATGTTCGACTGGAGCATTCAATCTCAGGTTAGTGGCAGGAGCTCAGAGGGAAGGAATAATTACTTTTTAGTTTTCAGTTGCAATGAAAAGGACTGGTGAGGTTTTCCGCTTGGGAGGTTGCTTGAAAGTTCCCTCACTTTCATTTGATTTTTATGGTTGAGGCATTTGGGTGGTGGAGAGGCCCTCAAAAGAAAGCGGGGTAACTGAGTGGAGTTCACCAAGATGGAAGGCCTTAAAGTCGTCCCCACAGGGAGCTCCGTGGGCGGCCTTTGTTTAGTGATGCAATAAATCTTTTATGTGCAGACCACTGATTTGCTTGTTGTCCGAACCCGGCCATTGTCCACTCGTAGTGGCCATTGTGTGCGGTGGTTTAAAGAACTTGGACTGACTGACCTGGGCCAGGCCAATACCTCCTTAATATGCTTTGCCCTCTCACTCTCTCAGTCTGTGTGTGGCAAAGAGAGACTGAGAACTCTGGAGGATCTCTTAGCCCCCACTCTGAGGCAATTTTAAATATACTCTCCTTTAAAAACCGGGTGCGTGAAAGCTAAGTGAATGACCCCTGACTTCTTATGTCCCAGGAACGTCCATTGTCATCATTCTGTTATCCATTATGTCTTAACCAGTTATCCTTTCATATCTACTTAACTCTAAATGAGATACATCTTAACTTTTCATCTCATGACCTCAATTATGAACCGACGTTCTTCTAGTAGAAATTAAGCAGGAGATAGTAGGAAGGAAGATGTGTAAATGGATGAGAAACCTGAAGGGCTTTATCAAAGGGCAGCAGGTAAACAATGAGCAGCAGGATTAAAAGAGGCAGTGGGGCTGGGTTAGGACTGTGAGGTGTCCCAGGATGTGTCTCCTCAGCTTTATCAGATAGGCCCCACTCCAGATGCTGCGATAAATGGGCTCTTTGAAGGCCTTACTGAGCCAAGACTAACAGGCCTGCCGTGACTTTTATGGGAAGGAGTGCAGTACACGCTGTTACTCGCAGGTTAGATATAAACATTGGCTTGGCGCGTGTTGTTATGCTTGCAAAACACTCGTAGTAGCTGCTCCTGGTCTTGGGTTTGGACATATGCCTCTTGGCTTTGAACTTTTAAATGTGTTCTTTGAGGAAACACACATCCAGCTCTGTGTACCATGGTCTTGTCCCTGCAGCTTTTCCCTTGTCTTTACCTCACTCTGCACCGTGTCTGTCTTTCTTCTATGTCTTCTTCTTCTATGTTCCTCATCAGACGAAATCTAAATATGGGGCTCCTAACAACAGCCTAATTGCTGAGAGAGAAAAGACGTTTTGAGAAACAGTGGAGCATTGAATAGAATGGTTATTAGCTGGGGAATTAAGAGCTGGATCTCTTAGCAGCAGTATTTTTTGGACTGTGTCCTTAAAACTGATTTTGTACTTTTCTGTATGCTGTAGCAAAGTTGTAATGCGTTTTATTTTATTATTGGATTACAGTAAAAATCTAACCGGCTACCCAAAGCTGATCAATTTTTCTCTGAGATTATTAACAGTGGCTATAACCCAGCAAATGTACTGTTTGGATACATATATACAAGTGTTTAAACATTTGGTCCAAATGCACTACATGATAACTCAATACATTTACACAGCACCATAAGCTACAGCCTACAAAATGACCACTGAAGCTGAATCACTACCTCTCAGACATAGTCTGTGCAAAAACCAAACATTGTAACCTTCCTAAAGATATAATCCATTGTGGGGCTGTTATATTGGATTGCATTTGATTTTGCTGTACCTAATAAACTGGTAATACAGGGGTTAACAGATTATTTAATTTGATCAGTTTAGTACATTTTTGTATTCAGGATAACCCTACAAAGCAACTGATTCATAGCAAGTTAATAAACAAAGGTTTTTGATTTATCTCATCACATAAATGATGGACTGGAAAACCTGCGGTGTCAACGGGGGTGCAGATACCTTTCCCAGTATTTGCTCTTTTTTAAGAGCTATAAAAGCACTCTTTGTCAGGTCAGTCATCTTATGGCCCTCTTTTGTCTTAAATTATAATTGGGAGCCAGAGTTTGAGCGTTGAGGGGTTTGGCAGGTTTGGGACTTTGAAGAGGTTTGAAGCTTGCCAACTATCTCAAACACATGGAAAAGCCAAATGGCCAACAATGCCTCCAGTCTGCTAGCCAGGCAGCCCTCTTCCCTCTGTCAACACATTGCTTTTGCAAGACCTACAGTATTTACCACTGTGGTGATTATTAATATTATTATTCATCTGCCTTTCTCCTTGCTGTGCAAGAAAACATCTTTTTGAAAATCACAAAGATGAAACAAGCTGCAGACCTCCAGGAAACAAAATGTGTATCAGCAGACCGATACCTCTGGTGAGATAAGATTTGTCCTCAGATATGATGTCTCAGTTCTGCTTTAGTGCGCCAGAGACAGTGCAGGAACAACAACTGGGACTTCTGAGTCCAACGTGGCAGTAATAGTTTCCATAGTCCATGCACACTTCTGCAAAAATGTGTTGAAAGGAGAGGAAGGCTTTGTTTTCCTCATGGATTTAACAAAGATGATCTTTTGTTTTTAACTTTGCGCTTGTCATCACTGACATGTACAAACACTTTTTGTACATGTCAACAACACATGTCAAAAACACTGACTTTTTCATACATGTGCCGTCACTACCTGTGAAGTGTTCGAAATAAAAGGGCATTTGTAAGGGCTTTGAAAGTGATACCTTGATGGAAAATTACATTTTGTTTTTTCAGCAGTCATGAAATGGCTATATACCTGTCTTCAGCTGCATTTTTTCACTGTGTGTGTACATGTGCTGTTGATAAAGCACCACAGCATCATTCTATGTGCTGTTGAATGGAGGTGCTATAAAAAGTGCAAGGTTTCCGAAGAGTGACTACACTAGAAACTGCAACAGAGATGTAAGAGTGAATTAAAGAATCTAATCAACATGACCATGAATTATGGTCACACTGACTGACATTTTTAGCAAGTGTATCAGTCTTCTGTCTCTGTCAGCCAACCTGGGTGGCTTCCCTGTTGTTTAGAATACCTCTAGTGTAGGTAGCTGTTGAGTGGGTGATTAATGTTTTAAAGTCACAGAGTGCCTTGTTGTGCCTGGTTCTGGCTTTTAAAAGCCTCTGGGGAAGAAGCTTACTGGGCTCAAATCACAACACTGCTCCGGCCTGTAATGACACATGTACGAGGGTCTACGGGGTATCTGTCTCTGAGCTTGCATGTGAATCCCAGCATCGTCCTTCAATAGAGATAGCCACAAGGATGAGGGTGGCTACAGATAGGGGCAGACTGTTCTTTCCTTCTCTTCCATTTTCTCTCTAAAATCCATATGAAAATAAGCCGGAGACACTGGGAAGAGGAGCTATGCAGTATCTTTTTCTCACAGTTGTCGGCTGTATTTCTAAAGCTGTGGGGTGTCATATTTTGTCTGAATTAGAATCAGTGAATTGAAAACAGACAGCTTGACAGCAAACATTACCAGCTGTAAACCCAAACACCAACGTTCTAGTGTTGGCTCCCCAGCGTTTCACCCGTTTTTTTGACGGCTAACTGGGGGCAGCTGGGACAGCCAAGTGACTGGCTTTGATGTGGCAATACTTGGCACACATAGCATCTGTGCCCCCTGACCCTCAACACAATCATTGTATAGGATTCCCCTCTCGGTGCCCACTGTGTATACATGGTAGTTCAAATGCTAGCATCAGGTTTTTGGTCAATGGGTTCATTTACATGGAAAAATGCCCTCCCCTGCCTGGAGTTTGAACTAGCCGACTTGAATCGCTGCCTGCTCTCCCTTTGCGCTTTCATGTATGTGAATGAAGCACTTGTTGATTGTGACCTCACTTCCCTCTTTGTTTGGAGTCACTCACTGGACGGGTGGATCTGACCTTGAGTTTTTCCTCTCCTAGAGGTGCGTGGCTACTGGAATTGCTGGCTTGTTTGCTGGGTCTCAGTTGGAACTATGTATAGATTAAGTTCTGTGTTTCCCTTTTAACTCAGAGGTTGACAGGGGTCAGGAAAAGTGGCCAGCCAGGGTGTGATGCACGTTCACTGATCACTCAGACCCTAAAGGTGAGAGAGGTTCACCTTAGGGTATGGCTTTATGTAGTGTGGAGCTTCGGAATGTCAGATGGCTCCAAAAGGCTTACTTACTTAGGCTTGCTCTGTGCCCTCATGCCCCCGGAACGGACTGAATCTCCCATTCCAGGAAATACCTATTGTTGCTAGGCAAAAAAGTTTGTTTTGGCTTTTTGTGTGCATGCATAGATGGTGGTTTGATTTTGAGTGTGTGTTTGTATCCATCACGATTGCTTGTCCCCTCCCCGGACTGTCACTGTCCGGCTGAGTATTTAGAATTGCTGAGCAAGCAGTGCTGGGAAATGGAGAAAAGAGCTTCTTTCTTCATGTGTTTGAGCAGTCCTGGCCTACGCTGCATGTGCCTCTGTCAGTTTTGCTCCAGAGCTTGGCAGAGGCCCCAGCCTTTTCCCAAGCTCCAACTGCCTTCCTTTCTTCTTTAACACCTGCTTCTCTAAAGTAGCTTTCTCACCCACTGCCTTGCTATTGTTCTATGTAGAAAAAGAATCAGAATTTCTTTTGCGTTTTGACTTTCCTTTCGAATGGACATCGAGATATTTTCTTTGGAACGCCAAGATGATAATGGTAGTCTTAATTGTCAAATGAGTTGACAAATGTGTTTTGCCACTGACTGCGAGTCTT